AACTTTCGAAAGCAAAAGGAAACCCCTGAACGGCTCACGAGCGCAAGCGCTGACGTCAGGTACTAAGGGAAATGGAACAAGCAACGAGAAAGTGATGTACCAATCAGAATGCCAGAACCGTTACTAGTTACCGGCCTCTTGTGGCTTGGTACCTTGACACTTGAGGCGGGAACCAGCCAACATTGCGTTTTGCACATCGCAACACACTGTATTTTGCGTCAGCTGTTACGTGTTTATGTCGAGCTAAACTCTACACAGCACCGTATCACAATTGATTCTTTGTTATTATCTCAATATTCTGAATTAGAAAACATTATCCGCGATTGGAATGGATACAGTTCAGAGTTCACCGTTACGTCTTCTTGCCGATAAATACGCAGTAAGTAACTTGGCATGCACCTACCATTCGGTGTTACGTTTAAACAACATGCGTTACGTTGTTTTACACCAATGTATTTTAATAACAATATTATTACAGTATAATTCTGAGCAGTTTATATTTTTAAAATCATGTATTGTGTTATTTTATTTATAGCATGGCGATTGTTTACACGTATCAAAACAAAGAGTGGGTTAACATGGCAATCCAGAATGTGTAAACTACTATGGCCTTATACTTTGGTCACAATGAATATTGTAAGTATATTTCAATATATGCATCATACTTTCGCATAAACTAGGGCTTTCGATTGACGCCATAGCTACGTAACATCCGGTCTACTGTACAGCGTCAACAACACTGATAACACAGTATGAAAACATTCACTCGTTGTATAACACTGTTCCGCAAGAACTTTTATCATAAATGTACGTTCATACTTTTGTACGTTGACAGGGCAAATATGGAATATTAAAACTTGATAAATATATCAACTTGTTCTATTATGACTTGAAAGTCTCGATAAAGAACGGGGAGTGTGTCTTCTCACTGGTTCCTAATCACAGAGCTAAGTGTTTCAAAGTAAGTAAAACTATTTATTCAACACGAAACCACGACACGTGTACAATTTACTGTGAAAACTACACATACCAAGTCAAGCAATGTGGTAAACATTCGTTGTGTTTTACGTTTTTTGCAGAAATCGTTT